TGTTTACGCTAAATGTGAAGCGACTACTATCCGCCAGCTAAGTTAGCTTAGCATAAACACTAAAAATAGGGGGAAACAGCTAGCCTAGCTCTTTTTAAAGGCTAATTTGTAGCCGCAATTGGACTTTGATTTCGTATCTCCCCTCATACTGACTAATGAGGGCAAAAATGCCAGAAAACAGTGTCAGTTGCCGTGTTAAACTTGTAGGATAGAAAACATGTTTTTTTTGTGTGTAACAAACAGTAAATTGTTTTTTTTTATGCATTTGATATTTTGAAAACTCTTGGCTGGATCGATGCTTTGCTGCAACGACAGCTAAAGTTTTAACGGCGGCTGAACTCTGACCTGTAACTCGGCCTCCAGTCGTCTTCACGCCAACCTAAATAACCGGCGGCTTCACCTTGAGACGTACGAGCAGCTGCGTTTACTGCGACCTGTGAACCGACTTATTTTTAGGCACACTTTATTTGACTGCACAACCTAATGTGAACTTTGTTTTGTGTCCCGGTGCGATAATGTCTTCTCTTGCCCATCGCCGTCCTCCCAACCAAAGCACGGATTGGTAAGCAAGAAGTCGACCCTGATGAAATATAATTATTTTTCACAATAGTTTGTAATCATGCATGCCTCTAATCCCAGTAATTGCAATGCTGATGAGATGAATGTCCGTCTTGTCTCCTTTAGCAAGGGCATATGGCTTGGTGAAGTTTTCAAGGCAGCGGCCGATTGGCTATTAGCGTGGGCCTTGCTGCTGCTGCTGCTAACTTGATTACGGGGTGCACTTAATTCTGTGCCGGTGTTTGTCTGCGTGCATCATCAAAAATAGACAATGATTATATCATCGCCTTGTTTGTGGCTGCAGACCTAAATTACAAACGCCTGCTTCTATTTGCAAGTCAAATTTGCGCGGTGGCTTCAAAGCAGCTTGATGCAATCATTTAGCTTGAACTGCTAAATAGAAAAATGAATAAATATTTCATTAGAAGCGAAATTCTACGTCCTCATATCAGAGGGGAGCTTTTTTTTTTTTTATTGTAGTTGTGATTATTTCTTTAAATTAATTATTTTGCTAATCAAACAATGAGTGTAAATGACGTTCAAAGACCGGATTGTGATTTATTTTGTGTTTTTTGAGCAGCATGTTGCAGCCGGTAGTAACCCTCAGTGTAAACTCTGCTTTGCTACTAATCATACCCACAATATGTCCCGTTCTTTATGAGCAACACTTCACCTGGAAGCTGAAGATGATGTGAGACACCATAAGCACATTATAATTTCGCTTTTTTTTTTTTCCAAGAATAGCTTCAGAAAACCAGTCTGAGGTTTGAAAACTCAACTTAGATTCGTTCTAATGCACCCTTCAGTCACTACATCAGGCAGTAAAGGTAGAAGTGTTCAAGTGTTACGAAGAAAAAATGGTTCAAGTATCAAAAGTGGAGTAAAAGTACTGAGACAGAGACACACATGAGGTAGAAGTACATCAGTAGTACTCATACTGTGCACTGTAAAAAAAAAAAAAAAACATCAACTCAGGAACCAAAACACAAAAAAATAACCATTTCATTAAAATACAGTTTGCAGTCTAAATTTTTCATAAGATCATGTGTGTTTTCTGTTTTTTTTAATGAAGTTTAAAAGAATGAAAATACCCCTAATATGTATAATAATAGATGGGAGATGGATATAGTAATAAATATGAGGATAAACACTATTACACTCCGATGAAAACACATTTATTCAACGTTTTTGTTCGCTGAACGTCTGTAAGCATCTAAGATATTTGACAAATCTGCATAAAACCACCAAACTAATGCTTCCTTTTCGGTTAATTGTCACTAATTGTGTCTAATCTCAGAAAAATATTCAAAGTATTAAACTTAAATGTAATAGTTTCATCTAGTAACGGGGAAAATATGTTTGTGAAATCTATTTTCAAATGTACTTTGATGTTAAAAAGTGTTTAGTTTTCTGCAAAAACAGGGTTATTTACAGTTTTATATTTATACTTATTGTTATTTTACATCAGATATTAGATTTTATTGCTACTTTTTCTTACTTGTATTGATGTTTTGTGCAATTTAAACACAAAAAATAGTAAAATAAAAAAAACAATTCTGTAAAATTACATTTTATATAGTTTACTATTATGTTAAACTGTTCATCACTTTATACACAATTCGATTAAGTTGTGCTTCATGTTTGGGTTGAGATTCTGCCGGTCTTGAGCACAGTTTGTTTCAAAAATATGAAGAAAATTTTAAAATAAAAATAAAAAATTCAGATAGATGTCATTATTTAAACAGTGTACTATTATTGTATCGTACATTGTTATAGAATAAAACTCATGTTTAATGGAAAACTGATGTGCAGAAATCAAATTAATGAAATTATTGAGATCCTTCTGGTATTGATCGCAATGTATTTCAAAAATAAGGAGAAAATCTGTTAAAAAAATTTGTAATTTTTTACATTTCTTTAGTAGAATTTCATAGTAATGTAAACACGAGTTATGGTTTATATGAGTGTAACATTAAAGTGACTGGAGACGCATATTTATAGAGGTAGGAGCTCAAATGTGAGTGTTTCTATTGCGTGTTCTTGCATGTGGTGCTCAAGTTTTAGTGTTTTATAGTAACTCCCTTTATCCAATTAACAACAGTGATTTCACGCTTCATGTGAAATCAAATACATACGTTCTGCTGCAGCCGCCACAATGCATATTATTAGTAATGTCATTACACAGGCACAGCAGATCCATAATGTATGAGAATGATTGCACATCGTTATGCGTTATATCACGTAACAGCGTATGAGGTGACGGTAATGTGCTTGTAGTGTTTCAAAAGGCTCCTCAAGGAAGGTGTTGCTGGATTTTCTGATATTTCTATAACATAACGTAGAATTTAACATAGAAAAATACTGATTTTAACATTAAAAAAACGACTGATTTTAACCCAGAAGCGGCTCTTTAAGGCCTGAAAGTGTTGATTGTGTTTGTTCCGCTGCTCGTGTATTTGTGTCACGTCCAGGCCCGGTTGGCCCACGTGGCTGCAGAGGCAGAGCTGAAGGTTCCCTTCGCCGACGAGCTCCCGACCCGGCAGGCCCAGCTGGCGGCGTTGAGCAGCACCGAGGAGTTCGACGTCCTGGTGGTCGGAGGAGGAGCGACGGGCGCCGGATGTGCCTTAGACGCCGTCACTCGCAGTAAGTCTGGTTTCTGTTGGCTGCAGGTGACGGCCACATATTGCAGTGTGTTTATTTCATACATGTTGAAAGCGTGAAGGGAGGAAGACAAAAAAAAGAGGGAACAGAGGAACAATTTTAACCCTCTGAAGCCCAAAAATCGCCACCAGAATCTGTAAGAACAGAAAGAATTGTAAGATTTTTAACTTTTAAGTTAGCCAACTCTGAGCTTGTTATTGTGATATTTTGGATGTCGTTTTATTATTCTACACGTCTCATTTGAAATATTGCTAAAAAATAAACTGTTTGTTCGAGCCAAAGTCTGTAAAAAGCAAAAAATTCTGCACTCTTCGGGGCAACTGTGAAGCCATTAATGACTCAGCTGTGACCAACATTCACGTGATAAAAAAAAAAAGGAAACAAGTGTGGAAACCAATTAAAATGTCAAACAGTGAAATGTTTTTGTCACATGACTGTTGGTCACACATCTAGTTAGACTAAATACTCTTTTTTTTTTAGCGTGTATAATAAAGTGATTTTGGGCTTACGTTTGAAAGTGATAGTTCAGATGTAAAGGGAAAGTTATTCATTCAGGGATGTTGTCTGTCATCCTCGTTTCTTGCTCTGATAAGTGTATAATTGGTTATTAGAATAAAGAATTTTGTAATTATAGAATTGGAGCATTCTATCTGTTTTTACAGTTTGCTGCTCTGACAAATGCTGCAATGTTGTTGATTCTATTTTTATTTTCTAAAGACAAATGCCGTTCAAGCCTGTGCTGGGTGTTGAGAAGTTAATATACGACTACATGCGGTTTAGATTCTGTCGGATGGAAACGAAGCTCAGCCACAACAACCTTGGCATCTGTTGTAAACAAACAAGCTCAGCCTGTTGGTCTCATGTCTCCCTGTAATTATTTAATACCTTCATTCCTGAAGTCCTCATGAGGTGTTTTAGTGCTGAACACTTGTAGGAACCCAGTGCATTCTGGGTCACGGACGTACAGCGCATGTACGCGACGTTTACCCTGAAATCTGTGGGCTGTAATCAGAGTCATGTTTATGTAAAGTCATTAATTAGAGTCAGACGTTAACAGGACTCCTACAGTTTTTACAGTCTGGGTGCTAATTCGTTCTCCGCTTTGATTAGGTCCAATTCAGTTATTTCAAGGTATCGACAAAAAGTAACACAAACAGTCAATGTTTTTGAGTTGCGACAACTTTAAATGAAATTATGATTAACCGACATTAAGTTTGAGGAATTACTCTGTGACCAATGAAAAGTGTAAAACCGGAAGCAGAAACCTGAAATCCTGAGCTCAAGTTGGAGAAAAATGAAGTTTGATTAGTATTATTCTGCAGCTTTCTGTTGAAATTAGTTAATTAGGACAGTTAAAAACGCATAGATATTTAAATATATGTCTTTGTGAACAAGTTACTCCAGAAGACGATCAAATCTAACAGAGAAAAAGACGTTCTTGTTGAGAAAACCATTTTTTTTATTGGATAAAATTATATTTCGGTCAGTTAACGCATGCTGTGTTTTATTCTTTTTTGTTCTTTTGTAGCTAAAAACAATAAAAGTGACAAACTGTTTTTCATATAATCCAAAACAGTTTGAATCCTCCACAAGTATGTGAACACGTTGGTGAATGAAATAATGAAGTCCAGACTCCAGACAATCTCCCAGACGCAATCATAAAAAGAAAAAAATATCTCTGCTGCGTGCGTTTTATGGAGCCGTACGTCACAATTTCCTAAATATGGTATAGAAATTCTGAACGTAATATCATATAAAATTAGATATGCAAGACTGTTCTGACTAAAAACGAGGTAAACGTGTGTGGCCAGCCGCTTTAATGACAAACGTAAGGGTTTAAAAGTAAGTGAAAGTGTTGAAATTACCCAGAAAACACCTGCGTATGAGTGTGTTTTCTATGTTTCCGTGCTTGTGTCCTCTCTGCTCTGTGGATACACAGCCTGCAGTTCAGCCTAAAACTCTTTTTGCCACGTGATGAACGCAGGATTTTTAGGTTTTTACAGAATCGGTTCAGAGCGAAAGTGATCTGGACTAAATTTCCAGGTTTTAAGATTGGATTTAGTTAATTTTCCCGACAGAACAGCGTGTCACATGTGGGTAGTAAATGCTTTTTTGATTCTATTTTTGCTCCGACAGATGGTGATTTCGGCATATTTTTAAAAAGACAACTTGCCTTTTAAACCTGCTGGTGGATTTTGTTGTTCAGAGGATTATTATCTGGCTGCATGAGGTTTAGATTTGTGCTGTACTGAGTGAAATGTTAATTATATTGTGTTATTGTAGACGTGAAGCCTCCACGTTTAGAACTGCAGGTCTGAAGAAGCCAAAGCAGGATTGTAGATGTTAATAAAGTCGATAGGAGCCTCAAAGTAAAGCTGGTGACGTTACCCTGGACAAAGCTCTGAGTGTGTTGTGTCATTTTCCTCAGACCTGAAGACTGCCCTCGTAGAGAGAAATGACTTCTCTTCGGGCACCAGCAGCCGGAGCACCAAGCTCATCCACGGCGGCGTCCGCTACCTCCAGAAGGCCATCATGCAGCTGGACTACGAGCAGGTTCCTCTGAGCTCCGCTTTGCGTCCATGCTCGTCTTCTTCATCGTCTGTGTCTCATTCTGTCTCTTGTCTTCGTTGAAACAGTACATGATGGTGAAAGAGGCTTTGCACGAGCGAGCCAACCTGCTGGAGATCGCTCCTCACCTGTCGGCGCCGCTGCCCATCATGCTGCCTGTTTACAAGTAAGAGACCTGATGCTCCTGTCGTGTTTTTCCTGCCCCTCCATGGAAACAGAACAACCACGACTAGAAGGAGAGAGAACCTATAATTGTCTTCTGTGCAGCACGACACAGTTATAAATTCTAGAAAAAGAAAATGGCGCCTTGGTGCAATCTGGCCTTGGGAGTAGTCCGGTACAAGTTCAGTATCGCCTCCAGAGGCCTAACTCCTGAGATTAAAGTCCTTCACAGAATTGAATTTCTTTGAATATTTATTTGGTAAAAAAATGGCAAAAACCTGGAATGAACAAGTCCAACGTTCTTCCAAGTGCCCACAGGTGTAACCAACACTGGGAAAATAGAAGGTGATTCTACATCCTATAGATATTTATTTTGTTTTACAATACCTGTTCAGCGCAAACAGTTGTAAAATAAATGTTTTAAATGAGACATGTAGAATAAAGACAGTTTGATTAAATGTCCAGATTTTACAGAACAGCACGACACATTGAAAAGTTGAAAATTTACGGTTTCTTTTTTAGGAACATGAAGAATAAAATTATTTCTATGAAGTATGATGGGAGATAATGTAGATAATGTCTCCAACTCTGGTCCTCGTGAGTTACTGTCCTGCAGGTTTTTGACCACGGGTGTCGAATCCTGGTCCTGGAGGGCCACAATCCTGCATGTTTTAGATGTTTCCCCTCTTCCAACACACCTGATTCACATGATCAGGATCATTATCAGGCTTCTGCAGAGCTTGATGATGAGCTGATCATTTGAATCAGGTGTGTTGGAAGAAGGGAAACATCTAAAACATGCAGGATTGCGGCCCTCGAGGACCAGGATTGGACACCCCTGTTTGAGACGTTTCCAGACTGCAACACACCCGACTCAAATCTCCAACAGCTTGTTGTCAAGTTCTACACGAGTCTGTTAGTGATCCGTTAACCGCAACACACCTGAATCAAACTAGCGGCTCATTGACAGACTTGTGTAGAACTTGACTACAAGCTGTTGGAGATTTGAGTCGGGTGTGTTGCAGTCTGGAAACGTCTAAAACCTGCAGGACAGTAGCTCACGAGTTGGAGATCCCTGCCTTACATTTACAAACCTCTACAAACTGGGTTTTTCATTCTACCCTGCACATCAACTCTATAATTTTTGTCACACGACCATCATTCATCGTCTAAATGTTGCTCAAAATTAGTCGTTAGTTACAGAATCTGTTTTGAGTAAAGAGGTTTATTTTTGACAGATTTTTAAACGAGACTCGTACAAAGTGATTCTATTTAAATATCAAAATTTTTAGCTGACGTTTGGTTCATTTTCCTGACAGAATGACAAATCACGCCATTAAAAATCTGACAGTTGTTTCTCTTTTTACAGTTTCTGGTTCTAATAAGTGCTGTAATTTTAGCGAAAAAGAAAAAGAAAACATGTCTTTTAAACCTGTGGGTTTCAGAGGGTCAAAATGAACCCAGAAACATGTCGGCTGTGCATCAGAAAGATGTATTCAGTTTCCCTTCTGACCTCCCAGATGGTGGCAGTTGCCTTACTACTGGGCAGGCATCAAGATGTACGACCTGGTGGCTGGGATCCAGTGCCTGAAGAGCAGCTACGTCCTCAGTAAGACCAAGGCCTTGGAGCTCTTCCCCATGCTGAAGAAGGACAAGCTGGTGGGAGCCATCGTCTACTACGACGGTGAGTCGACGCTCCGCGAAGCTTCATCTTCTTTCTTTTTCTGACGTTTGTCTGACAAATCACGCTTCGTTCGTTTTCCTGTAAACGAGAAAAGACAGCTGAGTCAGTGCTGCCCTTTTCTGCTGTTTTCCTCTCCTGAAGCTAAGAACTGCACGAGTTAGCGACGACTACAGCGATGGGCTGAGGGAGATTTGCGTGAATCTGAAATAAAAGAGCAGGATTTAAGGCACAGCTCTGTGAGTGCCGCCGAAACACCTGCAGCTCTGACAGCACTGCACAGCCTGCCGTAAGATCGGCACGTTTTTGAGTTTTGCTCACTGTCGGATGAATCCAGGGGTATTTGTCCATGGGCACGCCAGAAGGAAGAAGTGCTAACAGCTAATTCTGCTCATATTTGAACAAGTTGCGGCTCTACATACTATAGATATTTAACTTTTTACATTTTTAATTGCTTTTCGTACTCGTCTCCTCTGTGCTCTGTGGAAACATTCAGAATTTTGGTCACATGACTGTTGGTTGCAGCTGAGCCACTAAATGGTTTTAAGGTTGCTCAGAGAAATGCCAAATTCTTTGTTTTTTATAGAATTTGGTTATAGCTAACGATTTATTTTTGGCGAGTTTTTAAACGACACATGTGGAATAAAGTGAATTTAATTAAGTATCACGGTTTTAAGCTTAGATTTGGTTCTTTTTTTGGTGATTTTCTTCAAAGATAAGCTTCCTTTCCAACCTGCCAGTGGGTTTTGGGTTTAAACGCTTAAACTGCTGAGTTGCACGATTATTCTTCAACATAATAAAGACATTATAAATTACATTAACGCTGACTCTCTCCTCCGTTTATTCAGGTAGGGATATTTACTCTGTGTTGAAAAGCTGCAGAAGTACAGACAAATAACTTATTCTGTCAATCAGAACTGTGCAACACCGACCCGAGACAATTAGGCAAAATTAACAAAGACTGCTGCAAATTTGAAATCTAGAAATTTCTCAGGTGAATTCGGTGTCTAAGCAAAAAGTAGTTTTATTGTGCAGAAATCACACGATCAATCCAAAGGGAAGATTAAAGGGCGCAGGCCTCAGATGCCGTCTGGCCCGAGGCCTTCACATCTCCACTGGTGCCGAACTAAACGTGTTGACAGGCTGGTCGGATGCTCTCGCTGCCCCGCGGCGGCGAAGGTTGCGTGTTCTCCGGTTCTGTACGACGGAGAACCAAACATATGCTGAGCGTCCAGCTGAGTGTGAGGAGCTTCGTGCCGCCGGCGTCCTTTTCCTTCCCGCCACCCAAAATAACAACGTTGTGTCTGCAGGAGACGCGTCTTTTACTGTCACCGGGTATCAGCTCGTCGTGTTCGATCACAGCAGGCTTTTTTATTTTAGAAACAGTTGCGCAAAATGACACCAGAAACTTTTTTATTATTGCAGCGTGATTATGAGCTAAACATAAAATCAGAGCTGACAAAATTATCTATCTGCAGTTTGAATGATGTGATTTCACTACATTATCAAGCAAAAAGAGGGTTTGTTATCGGCTAAATGCACCCAACATGTTGTTCTTTATTCTTCATAGATGCTGGCCATTACGTTTTTAACTTGTTTCCATACTCCTCTCTACGGAGCCTGCAGTTCAGCCGAAAACCCGAAAGTTTCTCGAAGATTTTAGTTGCAGGACTGTTGGTCACAGCTGAGTCCCTCGTGGTGTCACAGTTGCACTGAGGAGAGCTGAATTTTTAGTTTTTCACAGACTTTGATTTGAATTTTCAAAAGAGACATGCAGAATAAACTTTCTTTTTAATAAAATATCACAATTTTATTGCTTAGATTTAGTTCATTTTTCTCAACCAAACCCAAAGTAACACATGCTACGTTCAAGGACGTTAAGGAAGTTGAAAATCCAGTGATTTTTTTTCTGCTTTTACAGTTTCTGGGTCTGATAAATAGTGTAATTGCATTTTAATTTTTTTTTAAAAAGATAACACGCCTTTCATTCTTTTCTACTTCTTGCTGAAATTGACCAGATGAAGTTGTATTTCTGTAGAACTGGATGCAGTGGACAAATCAACATTTATATTTACGTTGATAAAGAGATTAGTTCACATATAAATAAGGAAAAGTGTTGTTTAAACTGAATGTATTTAATACAGTAATCTCCAAGTAAAAAAACTGTATTATCGATTAAACTGCAAGAAACTACAACTTTAACTCCCGAAAAGCAATAATTTATGTGAACTAATGAATCTGAGGAACCCAAACAAACGCTGACTGCAGGCTGGGAGAAGAGCGTTTTGTTGGTGCAGAGCAGCATCTGTTTGATTTCCGCCTCCCTCTCCTCCCTCCATCATCTGCTGTGCGACGGGGCCGGGATGGTGGAGGAGGGGTGGGGCGTCTTTTCTCCAATTATGCCGTCTGGAACAATCACGCCCGTGACATTTCGAAATCTGACCTTCTCTCCCGGCGGTGCCGAGCGGCGGCGGCGGCGGCGGCGGTCGGACCGGCTGAGCGGCAGCAGCAGCAGCCATTTCTTCTGCTGTCTGGCTGCTGCCACCAACAACAACAGCAGCAGAGGCTCCTTCATCCTCTCACGTTGAATATGCCGGTGTTAGATGTGCATATATACCTCCTGCAAAATGCCGCCATAGCGTGTTCAGCTGCTGCAGCTACAGCACACATAGTCGGAGACACGTGTGATGCAAAGCAGCAGCGATTCTGGTTTAAACTCCACCACAAACAATCACACTTACACTTGAAATTGCGTTTTTGTGTCCACATATTAATGTTTGTTTCCATGTTTAACGTGAAAAAGAAAATCTAATTATGTTCTCTTAGACCTCCAATAAATCCCACTTTATTGCCGGTTGCTATAATTATTTCATCTTATCTTAGATCAGAGGAGACTAAATATTTGCTTGTAATTTCTAAACTGGACGTTGGAACCTTTATTGCAGGAGGATTGTGGAAGGTTTTAGCCCAGTTCACGTTATAAACCGGTAATAAAGGCTGAACTCAAAGCAGTTTTTTTGCTCCTGTCACGTTTTTCCTCACTGTGGGCTCATTTTTTACTCCAATATAAAGTCCTGCACCTCTACGGAAACAGAACAAGCACACAAACAGATGCAGAAATCGCAGACAATAAATTACAAACAGACACAAAGATGCAAGAATAACAGACCAAACAATGAAAGCAAGAAGGAGACAGAACTCAGAAATGTCTTCTGTGCAGCGTAACACAGTTAGAATGACAGAAATCATTTTTTTAAAAAAGGAAAAATCAAAGTGGAGTTTCTTTGATGATTAATTTTATAAAATATTGTGTGAAAAAACTGGAATCACATCTTAACACTGGAAAATAAATGATGCCTCTTTAGTTTACAGAATCAAAACGCTTCCAAACTGGATCATTTTTTGTCATTTGTGCACAACAAAAGGACTGAGACCATTATCCTTCCATCAAATGAGTTGCATTAAGTAAATGTTTTAGCTCTTCTAACAATATTGATGCTGTGGAAGAGGATTCTTGTCTTGTGAACACGAGCAGCGACTAAAATGTCAAATCTTCTTCTGTCTGTCTCCAGGGCAGCACAACGACGCCCGCATGAACCTCGCCATCGCCCTCACCGCCGCCCGCTACGGCGCCGCCGTCGCCAACTACACCGAGGTGGTTCACCTGCTGAAGGCGAAGGACGAGCAGACCGGCGGCGAGAAGGTGTGCGGCGCTCGCTGCAGGGACGTCATCACGGGTGAGGCAGGACGCTTCCTGATTTTATTTTCATATGAAAGCGAAGCTGTGGTCGGAAGGATTCATCACATCAACGGACACAAGAATTAATTTCAACAAGAGACGGCAAACAAAGTGACTCATTAGCAGGATGCAGTACTCGATAAAGAGTGTTTGGAAATGAGTTGCTCAGCTGTTGAAGCTGCTGTGTGGTTTGTCTGCTCGGATGTAACATGAAAATCAGGACTGGGTTGTCATGTCACCTGCAATAGACAGAAAGAGGCAGACTTTTTTACCAGCTTTTAGGACCATTTCTGCCTCATTCTTCTCTGAAACTTTAATTTAATGCTGAATAACTTCTCATAGAAACATCCCAGAACCAGGAAGACGCTTGTACCTTCACATGTATGAGCATAAATTACTTAATTTGTTTTGCTGCCTGCCAACATAGGACAATAAACACACTGTTTAGTTGTTTTTTTTAAGTAATTGTAATAAAAATGGAATTACGTTTTTAAGATCATTTTAAAATGCAGCAATTAAAACAGTGTCACACATTTGTTGCTTGTAGTCTGCTGATAATTGTAAGAGCTGCATTTGTAGTAGTTAGAACAACTTGTTTTACATGTGAAAGCCGCTGCAGACAGGAAACTGGCCGCTTTGAAGCAAATGTGTTTTTGTTTTTAAATGCCAAAATGTTCCTGTTTGTCGGAGCTAGAAACTGTTAAAACAGAAAGAATCATCACCTTCTTGCAGCGTGCAGTTACGTGAGAGGACCTAATCAAATCTAATTTAAAAATTGGGATATTTAATCAAAATCACTGTATTCTACATGTCTTAGTGAAAAATCTCCTCAAGAATAAACTATTTCTTCTAACTAGATTCTGTAAAAACAAAGGACATCTGCGCTTCTTGCTGCAGGGTGGCACAGTTGGTAGCACTGTTGCCTCGCAGCAAGAAGGTTGCCGGTTCGCGTCCCGATGGGGGCACCGGAATCTTTCTGCGTGGAGTTTGCATGTTCTCCCCGTGCAGCGTGGGTTCTCTCCGGGTTCTCCGGCTTCCTCCCACACAGTCCAAAAACATGCTGAGGTTAATTGGTGATTGTAAATTGTCCGTAGGTGTGAATGTGAGTGTGCTTGGTTGTCTGTCTCTAAGTGTAGCCCTGTGATAGACTGGTTACCTGTCCAGGGTGTCCCCTGCCTTCACCCTAAGTTGCCTGGGACAGACTCCAGCCCCCCATGACCCTAGTGAGGATTAAGCAGTGTATAGATAATGGATGGATGGAACAGCTCAAAAGCTGTCCGTGACTCCGCTGTGACCAACAGTCAAAGTTCAGTTGACCTGCAGGCAGTGTTTCCACAGAGCAGAGACGACATGAGGGGAAAATAAAACCGACTGGATCAATGAAATAAATGCAGCATGGCTCAAGAACAGTGAGCGGAGAAGCAAGTTGTTGGAAGACACATCCAGCACAGTGAAACCTCTTTCTGCAGCTGATGTGCAGAGTTGAGATAAACCGTTTGTAGAGGCTGTTTTAAAAAGTAAAATATCAAAAATGAGCCCACAGTGATGAAAAACACCCACACACACAGTGTTTGAGTGTTAATAACTTGGTGTGTGTATTTGAAGTGTTAAATGTGCGTTTACAGGGCAGGAGTTCGACGTGAAGGCCAAGTGTGTGATCAACGCCACCGGACCGTTCACCGACTCTCTGAGGAAGATGGACAACCAGAAAAACCAGAACATCTGCCAGCCGAGCGCCGGCGTTCACATCGTCATCCCGGGTTACTACAGGTACAGCGGAACACCCAAACATGCAGAAAATCTCCCCTGAATCTGCTTTGGGGTTTTTTTTCTGTTTTGAATGCGTTGCCTCGCTCACGCGTACGTATTCGGGCGTGTTTCCTCGTTCCTGTGTGTAAATAGGAAGCCGGCTGGGCTATTATCCGACCCGCACTTACACGCGGTCGTCTCTGCTTCAGATACAGCGCAGCGGCGGAGTGGTTTTGTTGAAGTCGGAGGTTTTAAAGTTCAGCTGAGCTTATTGAGTGAAACCCGAGGGAGCGCGAGCCCTTTGAACAGAAATGCCAACCACCTAATTTTCCTCCTCCTCCCTGTTCTCTCGTCTTCCTCCCGCCGCTATCTGCCCTCCTCTTCCTCCTCTTCCTCCCCCGTATCGGTGTTTTTCCTTTTGTTTGTCTTCGTCCCTCCTCTCTTTGTCTTTTTTTCTATCTCACCTTCTCCTCCACAGTGTTCACACAACAGCAAATTAGACACAATAACAGTCCTGCTTACTTCTTCTGTGGCTTTTCTTTTTGTTGCTTCCTCTGCACACGTTTGTCTGTTGCTTCTGCTGCTTCTAACAGGATTATTCCATCGCAAATCCTCAGCTTCCTTCTTCTCAATCAATTTTGATTTGCTCTAAACTTATTTTTTAATCACAAATACTGAATATTTAATAATATAAATAGTTATGTATCTGTAGTATTTGACAGAACTATGAAAGAGAGACACCAAACAACACGAATGAGACACAAATGAAGGAAAACGTGACAACAAATCAGAAACGAGACACAAAGCAAGAAAAGAAAACAACACAAATGAGACAGAAAAGAACAAAAATGGCCGAGTGGAAATAGTTTTAAAAAATGTTATGATTTTAGATGGAATGACCCAATAATGTTTTTTACTGTTTGGTGACAGAATTCAGCCTAAATGATGCTGTTCAGAATTTACTTCTTATTTTTTTTAAGCTGTCACTGCAGAATAGTGGTTAATCAGTGAATATAATGTCAGAAAATTAATTTTCTTCCATGTTTCAACTCACCAATAATCAGAGATTACTCGATCTACTCGTCCAATGTTGCAGATTCTGAATCAGTGACGTGATGAGAAATAACAGTGAAAATTTTTATATTTGTTAGTTCCTGAGAAGTTGTTTTTCAAACAGCCTCAAATTTCAACATGAGAAGAAAACCTGCTGAAAGTGGGTCGACTTTCAAGCAAAATTTGTCTCTGAAAGTCTTTGATATGTCAAGCTAAAATCTAACAGATATCTTTAAATATATTCATATTTTCTGTTATAATAATTTCAGGTAAATCATAGATGGTTGATTGTTCCAAAAATTTTGTTGGATAAAATGACAAAACAGTAATTGCTCGATTGGACTTTCTGCCCCTCAGTCCTGACAACATGGGTCTGCTCGATCCGGCCACCAGCGACGGTCGCGTCATCTTCTTCCTGCCCTGGGAGAAGATGACCATCGCCGGGACGACCGACACCCCCACCAACGTGACGGCGCATCCGATCCCCGGCGAGGACGACATCAACTTCATCCTGAGGGAGGTTCGCAACTACCTCAGCCCTGACGTCGAAGGTACAGGAGGCTCCATCGGGGGGTTTCTTTTGCAGTTATTTAAATTTTTTTACAATTAGTTTTCTCTCGTTTTATTCATTCACGCTACTGTGGCGTTCCTGGACTGCAATTCCCAGAAACCACCTGTGATTGACCAGTTTCTTAGTTTTTTGAGATTCATGCTGGTTGTTCCCAATAATCTTGAGATAATAATAATCTGTAGAGAGTGCAGATGTAAAGTTTACTTGTACAGCCAAATTTCCCAAACCGTATCTCCTGAGACATGATGTTCAGCTGAGATTTGGTTTAGTTTCCTGACCGAAGGACAATCCAACTGTTCTGTTTAGTTTCTAACTGGTAAATGGTGTAACTTTGGCAATTTCTTAAAAATTGTGAGTCATTTATTCCTATTGGCGGGTTTTAGGTTTTAGAAATTGAGAAAATAATTGACAGATTAATCGATAATGAAAATTGTCCCTGTAAAATACAACCAGCAAGAGAAATGTCACGTTATTCTAGATCCAAGACCATCCACTGTTTTGGTCATGTAGACGTACGTGGATGTATTTTGTGACCCAGATTCTACAGAACTTTAAAAAAACCTGAAAGTTTTACTTTATATATTTGGTTTGTTTGAGTTGCTCTGAATGAAATGCATCTTTGTGCTGCCTTCAGTGCGTAGAGGAGACGTTCTGGCGGCGTGGAGCGGCATCCGTCCTCTGGTGACCGACCCGAGCTCCAAAGACACCCAGTCCATCTGCAGGAACCACATCGTCAGCATCAGCGACAGCGGACTGGTCACCATCGCCGGTCAGCTGCCTATCTTTTTAAAAATTTAACCGACTCTGACCTGCGTGTGGTTTTAACGCTGGGCTTCCTGTGTTCAGGCGGGAAGTGGACGACCTACAGGTCCATGGCCGAGGAGACTCTGGACGCGTCCGTTAAAGCTCACGGACTCTCAGCCGAGTCCTGCAAGACGGTCGGCCTGATGCTGGAGGGAGCGAAGGGCTGGACGCCGACGCTCTACATCCGCCTGGTGCAGGACTACGGCCTGGAGAACGAGGTGAGGCGCTGCTGCTTATTAACACCATCAGGAGACGTTTGATGAAGAGTTTAAATGTCGATTTTAATCTCGCTTGCTGCATTAAACCAAACTTTTTTCATCCAAAAACAAGCGTACTAACACGCCTTCTGAACTTCAAACTGTTTCCGGACGTTTTATTTGGAGTTCCAAGAATCACTTTATGCTTTAGTATGAATCTTATTTATGATGACGTACAGCTACAATCATGTCTAGATTTCAAGTTAATAGTAATTTGACTCAAATAGTCCAGGAGAAGAGATGTAGGTGCTGCTGAGGAGAAAAAACTCAACTGTAAACTCCCAAAACACAATAATCTGCTGTCTGTGTTGTTCTGTTCTGCTCCAGCGGTTTCTTCATGCTACATTTTTAATTTATTCCCATACTCGTCTCCTCTCTGCTCAGTGGAAACACAACCGAAAAAGTCACTTATTACGTGGCTGTTGGTCACAGCTGAGTCAGTCGCGGCTTCATATTTATGCTGAGCAGCGCACAATTTCTTAATTTTTTTACAGAATCTGGTTTTTGCAGACATTTATTTCCACCAAATGTTTAAATGAGACAAGTTTTGGTGAAATCACGATTTTTTTTTACTCAGATTTTGTCAATTTTCCTCCAGTAATGTCACACACAATGAGTTCAGGACCAAGGTAAAAACAAGGCGGTTCCTTCTGTTTCTACAGTTGGTGGTTCTCCGCGCACTCGACATATTCAAGTATTTCCATTTTTAAGGCCTTTATAAATGTTTTTTCACACAACTCTGCACATCACATCAAATACAGTCACCGTTCTGAATGTATTTTACCTGCAGTTCAGCTGAAAACTCTCAATTTTTGTCACGTGAGTCAGTTGTGGCTTCTCAGTGGCGCTGAGCATCGCAGAGTTTTTAGTTTTTCACACAATCTGGTTCCTGCAAATGTTTTATTGTTGGCATTTTTTTTCTATGAAACACGTAGAATAAGTTAATTTTGATGAAATAACACTTTTTGTCAAGCTTAGATTTGGTTCATTTTTTCAACTAAACCATAAGTCACACATGATGAGGATTTTTCAGTTTCTGGTTCTCCACATACTCTAGATGTTTAACTGTTTGCATTTTTACAGCCTTTACAAACTCTTGTGTTTTTCTTGAGTTACATGTTGTAATTTTAGTGATTTATATTTAATTTTTTTTAAGATAACCTGCCCACTCTCTGATAAATGTTGTAGCTTTGGTGATTTTTTTTTAAGAAAGCACGACTTTCACACCTGCGTTTTGGGCTTTGAGGGTTAAAGCTGCATTTTGTTTCCAGATGCAACTCCTGTGAGCTTCCTGCTTCATTAGGAGAGAAAGAAAAGTTTGGGAATAACTGCCTCTTGTGCACACATTCGTCTTCGAACAAACCTGTAAAAGCAGCAGCAGCGGCAGCAGTGGAGCTGACATTAAAGCCGCTGCTGTAACAAAGCTGGCATTTCTTCTACACAAAAGACCGGACACACGTTGAAACGCTCTGTCCAATTTATCAGTGGCATTAAGTAAGGGCACGCCGGCTCTCCAATAATTAGCCTGTTCGTTTTCATTAAATGCAGTAGAACATAGTTTGAGGAGGAGGAAGAACTCCTACGCCGAGTTCCTACAGTAAACTTACTCCTCATTAGAGGCTCCTGCAGCTCTTCTCTGGAATATTCCTAAAAGGTCACTGTTGATATTTGGACAGCGTTTGCCCTTTCACATGATCGGCAAGCCGGCCATCTGAATAGCAAATAGCCTCTTGTGTTCTGTAAACACGCGACACCTCATCGACAAAGCGGCGCTATCGTTTATCGTTTAACTCCAAAGAGGTGAAATCGATCATCTGAATACCAGCAGCTGCCGCGGACGTTTACACGCTTTAACCTCGAGCTTTTATATGGACGACGCTGGAGAGTGAAGGTGCAGAAATATCGTCCAAAAGCAGAAGTATTTGATAAAAAAAATACTATGTTTTAGGCTTCATCCTTTGAAATCTGGGTCTAGTTGTTATAATCTGGGACAGATTCATTATATTTATGAATGTGAAGATGTTCTGTTGAAATAAAACAACTAATTTGAAGCTGTGTGCTTTAATAAACTGATTTTTTTTTTTCACTATTTTCTAAATGTATATACGCCAGTTAACTGCTATGCAGCACTTCCTGAAGTCTAAACTGTTAAATTCTGAAGTTAAATTGTAAAAGTGTAAATAAATAATAAAATTAGGTCTACAAGTGAAATAATATTAACAACATATTGCTAAAAACGGTACTGATTTCCCAAAAAATAGGAATATTACGTCAATTCAGGTCATTATGTTGGATTTCAATGCTTTTACTGAAGTTCTCAGAACAAATCTAACTGTAAAGAGTTCATGTACATGTATTAAATAATCGGCAAATATTATAATCAAATCCAAACAACTTAGTTTTCCAGCCTTTTTCTAAAATGTTTGCCATTTTCTGACATCATATTCACTGACTAGTCATCGTGCAGAAGCTCAGAAAGTCTAAACGGTTTAATTTCCGTCACAGTGAAAAGGATCTGTCTCTTGAAAGGTAATCTTAATTTGTTTTTACATTTTTATAAAAGCTAAAGTGCAGCAGAGAAGCTGAACATTTAGTTCTTTTCACACATTTACAAGTGAAGCTAACATATTTTTTAATAAACTTTTTACTAATTGTAGCTTGTAGGGTTGTTTGACCAGTGAATGCTTTAAATAGAAGCCACGCTGATGAAGGCGACATTTTGATAAAAAGGTAAAAATATCACAGTTGTACTTGTTATGAATTTGTCCCTTTTTCAAGTAAACATTGTGTATTTTCCACGAGTACATTTTCCTATTACGTCCCTGTTTGGACTGTTTTTACTGTGCGTTTATTGTTATCACCTGGAATTAGTTTTATTAATGGATTTATGTTGAAATTATCCAGGTTTTTTTCTCTTTTCTCTGCTGTTTTTCTCTCTGTTGGCTTGTGAACTCTATTTTAAATAAGGTGCTGAATAAATAGCGATGTCACAGTTTTCGGTGTCTTTCTCGGCCGCAGGTCGCCCAGCATTTGGCCTCGACGTACGGAGGGAAGGCGTTCGACGTGGCCAAAATGGCTCAAGTCACCGGGCAGAGGTGGCCGATCGTCGGGAAGAGACTGGTGTCTGAATTTCCGTACATCGAGAGCGAGGTGAGGAGGATTTCATATCCAGACGGGACGTCAGCCCCAATAATTGATCGACTTTGTTCAAATGAGCAGCTGAGTCATCATGATGTTTAACTGGATCTCTAACTGGATATCTGGAATTAAAAGCGTAGCTCTGACTAGTTAAAACGACGTTGTTTCATCTGTCATTTGAAGCCTGTGTGATCGGTGTTATCCGCCCTGTGCGCTGTTCCTCAGGTTCTGTACGCCATCAGGGAGTACGCCTGCACCGCCATCGACGTCATCGCCCGGCGAACTCGCCTCGGCTTCCTGAACGTGCAGGCGGCCGACGAAGCGCTGCCTCGAATCGTGCAGATTATGGGCAAAGAGCTGGACTGGAGTCAGGAGAGGAGGACGGTACGATTCAGCTGATTGTGAAACAGGAGGCGCTCGCTGAATATAAAGCCAGCTCAGGTTAAAGGGCAAAAATCAGAACTTAGTGAATAAAAACAGTGAAATGACGTCTGCAAGGGCAGTAATATGACGTGATGCTAATTTCTCCTAAAATGTAAATATTCAGGTCATATTTTTGGATCTTCATGCTCTTCCTGAAGTCCACAGAACAACGATCACCACAAATATATCATGTAAATCTGTACATCAGTTTTAAAATATTAACTTTAACATTTGTTATTTCTATCATTTAGCCCTAAAAACCTCGACTTTGTTTTTTAACCATACTATTGCACGACGCAGTTGAATCTCTGCTGGTTTCTGAAGTCGAGGCAGTGGGTCAGTGAACAATAGAAAAGTCGACACCCTTCAGCCTTTAGAAGCAGCGTGAAAACTGAACTCTCACTTATTGTTCACCCGCAGAGCAGAGACTTACATAAACACTCAACAGTTTCATCTCTGATTTGCCTGAAACTTTTAAACATTCGTAAGGATATTTGTGAACTTAAAGCTTTATATGTCAAATACTTTCTGAGATAAACATTTTTTTAAACTTCCTGTCGACCCATTTTCAGCGAGTCTTTTTCACACATTGAAATTTGAGGCTGTTTGATCGACAGCGTCTCAGGAACTATTGAAAGAGGATCTGAAATATTTACCAAATAGGTCAAATAATTGTAGGTGAGTTGAAATATGAAAGAAATCCAAGCTGTCACAGAAAGTACCATCTCTGAGCTCGTAATAACAGAGAAATTGATAAAGCAGAAGTCCACCAGTGATGTTCTCTGAACTACGTGTAGCTTCATGTCACAATAATACAAAACTAAACTTGTACAGTACAGTGACAATTTCAGTAGTAGTTCCTGAGATGTTATCATCCTGCTGAACGTGGGCTGACGGGCAAAAACGCTAATTTTCGAAAGCACTGGATATATCGTCAAAAACCGTTTTGCGATGCTGTTGAAGTCGGTTATGTAAAACTGATCTGGTTGCGGCTTTTAGCAGAACTCAAGTGTGCTGTTCTGTTTGTTTGTGAGGTTATGAGGCTCAGAAATGATGGAAAGGGTCTTTCAAAAGTGTGAAATTTGGACCCACCTCTATGTACCACAAGGGCCTGTAACTCCTAAAATACTTGTAGTATGAAGGTAAAACTTTGCATGGATTCAATTAGTATATTAAACTTCTTGTATATAAAAAATCAGCTGATTCTGAGGCAGAAGTGTGATGAGGTTTGGCTGATTTGACGCGGAAGGACTCAGAAACTGATTTGGTCGACTATCAGAGCTAATTTACTTTACCCAGTTTTAGCAGAAGTCAAATGTGTTTTTCAGCCCTGAAGACTTCATGTGTTTACCTCCTGAACATATGGAGTTATGAGGTTCAGAAATGATAAAAACTTTAATTGAAAAATGTGAAATTTGGACCCTCCTCTCTGGACTTCAAGGGCCTGTAGCTCTGGAAAAAATCCTAGCATAGTATGAAAACTTTGCATGGTTATGTTAAATATACTGGAGTTATTGTGTGCACAAAATGTGAACTTAATTCCAGATTTGGTTGATTTTAAATGGCAGAGAAAATGCTGATTTCACTCTTTCTGATGCAAAATCCAGGCGGAGCTCGAGGCAGCGAGGAAGTTTTTGTACCATGAGATGGGCTACAGGTCTCGATCTGAGCAGCTCACCAAGACGTCTGAGATCAACCTGGACTACCAGGAGGTCATCAGGTAATCATAAGATGAAATCATTAGTGCTGTCGATCCGTTTTCATGTTTGCACACGGCTGTTTGGAAGCTCTGAGCCTCCCGTGAAGACGATTCCTGCTCGTGTGTCCGTCAGGTACAAGAAACGCTTCCACAAGTTCGACAAAGAGAGCAAAGGATTCATCACCACTGTGGACGTGCAGCAGGTTTTAGAGGTGAGTTTCTCCACTTGTCTCCGCCTTTACGTCGTCGTCTTCATTACACCTCATCGATCGCGACTCTTGTTTTTCCTCTCCGCAGAGCATCAATGTCCACATCGACGAAAACTCCCTCCACGAAATCCTTAATGAGGTGGACCTCAACAAGAACGGTCAGGTTGAGATTGACGAGTTCCTGCAGGTACGTAGCTTCACCGCTTCGCTTCAGGTGCCCTCGTTCAGCGTTTATGGGTTTAAAACGGTTTGTATAAAGTCAGTTCAAGTTATTTGTTTTTATCTTCATGCTCGTCTAGGTCCACTTAACGAAAAACAACTTACAGAAAAGTCATGCAAATAAATAAATCTGTCGAAAAACTATGCAAATAATTTAACAATATTGTGACATCTATGAAGTTAACTCCTGAAAAAGTCGCCTCTTTCAAGAAATTTTAGTTGTGCTGCACAAACTAAAGAATGAAACAGGAATTAATTTTATTTTTCATATTAATTACAGAATGTTTCCAGACAGCAACAGGGAGTAAAAACAAAGATCAAACCAAATATAACTCCAAAAGTTTCATGTAAATATAGAAATCAATCTTAAAAATAAGGAAACTATTCTGAAATATCATTCGCACGCTTCTGTCTGTCTGTAAATGCATCTTAAATATTCAGTTTTCCAGTGTGTTATATATGTTCGGCACAATATTGAAGAAAAAAAATTAAACTCAGAGGTTTTTTTTAAATGCTTTTTTTTAATTTATACTGACTTGATGACACCAAGATGGAGATATTTGCAGAAAATGCAAATCAAAGAAAGACCAAACCAAGTAGAACTCCAAAACTTTCAAGCGAACATGTAAATCAATCTGTAGAAAATGTTATTTCCATGCATGTTGTCTGTAATCAGGTCAGAAGAAAACAGTTTTTCAAGCTTTTACAAGGATTCTGCACAAAAATTCTAATTATTAAAAACAAAACTCAGTTGTATTTTTTATATTTGAGGATTATTTTCAGATATTTATACTGAAGTTCAATATTTTTTTAAACAAAATGAAGCTTGAAGTGCTCGATCACAGACAGTGAGAGGGAGGATTTTGCAGGAAATACTTTGCCGGTAACACAAAGACAGAATCCAAGCCTGAGCTGCGATGGCGGTGACATTTTTCCGAGCCGCTCACACTGCGGTTTGTGTCTGATTAGAGGAGCCATTAATGCCTCACACCTCTGTCAGCCGCTGCCCTTCTTCAACCAGCAGAGCAAACAGCACCGACGACACAAAGGCTGGATAATAGAAACCCTCGGGAATCCATTACACACACATTTAACCTCTTTACCGCTGCCACATTTCTTCCCCATCACCTGAAATGATGCTATTCACTCTGAAAGGTGTGTAAACGCAGCTGCCGACTGAGGATCAGAAAGATTTTCAGTATTAACGCCCAGATAAACAGATTCCTGCTCGTGCATGCGCTAAAGCTGCCGCACAAATTACGCTAAGAAAAGACTTGTGTCCACCTGAGAGGTGAAGGCGGCTGCAAACCGAAGGTGTGAAGTCGGATGAAGCTCATTAGAGAGTCTCTGTCAGCGTAATGAGACTCACGTTCAGCTGCCCCCAAATTACTCCCTCACCCAGAAAAGCAGAGGCTTTGTCGGATGGTAAAGTGAAAATACGCTGCTGTCTGCTCTGTGTGACAGAATCTGTGTATTTGTGTGTTTGTTTGTCCTCGTGTACACGCCTGGCCTGCACGTGGACGCCTCAGGGACAGCACACAGGTAGTACTGACGGGAAGGTGACGCTGTAACCCTCGTAGGCCCCACCTGAAAAGGGCTTCCTCACATAAAACTCTAAAAACACACTAAAACGAGGTCCGAGACGTGTCAAAGCTGCATCAGGTAACTTCAGACGAGTCACGGCTGAGTCCAGTGATATTATTTCTTTCTTACTGTAAACAAATCCTGAAAAGAAAGAAAAAAACTGAGGCTGAAAGTCGTCCTCAGCAAAGGCAGGAAGTGATGGAGGAAGTTAAAAGTAAAAGTGTGCAAATGTGATCAAGAAAAAAGTTCAAGTATGAGAAGGGCTCAGTGCAGAACAGTGTCTCTGCATTCATGAGTAAGCGGCGTTTGCGACTCCTGCTGATGCTGCAGGTGTTTAATAAGCTCAGAGGAAACAGCAACAAATGCTCGTTTTAATTTGGTGAATTATCTCATTTACTGACTACGGAGCCCGTCTGGTGACATCGATAAGAAATAAAAATAACTCGTTCCCACGCATTAGTAAATCGTGGCCACGAGTTATTAATGCGTGGGAACGACATAATTAAACTGTGGCCTCGCATTACTAATATGAAGGAACAAGAGAAGTTGTGGAGCAGATTTCACCGAGCGGTCATTCCAGCTGTCGATTAAGGATAACGGGCGGACTTGCATTAAACACGGAGCATTTTGATTTGACTTCATTTTATTTTAACCTTGGAATGAACGACACCGATATCCTGCGATCTCTTGCGATGAAACACCGTGTGATAATTATGTCGTTCCCACGCATTAATAACTCGTGGCCACGATTTACTCATGCGTGGGAACGAGTTATTTTTTATTTCTTATCGATGTCACCGGACGGGCTCCGTAATTGACGCCTCCCTGTGTACAAAAAAGACAGTTACCCCATTCTGCCCCTCGTGATTGTTTTCAAGGAGCACAGACAAACTCAGGAGGTGTGCAGTAGAACAAACGATACAGCAGGGTCTGTATCATAATTATTATAACTATTGTTGATACCAAACTCAAGCTCCAAACCACCCACAGTGGCTGCGTTTTTTACCCCCCAAAATTTCTGTCATATTAAGTACATCTGATAATATAAAAAAAAAAGTTTAAAAGAAATTAATTTGAAGTTATTTTGGCTCCTGTCCCACCTGCTAACATCAAGGGGGGCGGGGCTTATGACCTGCACCATAAACCAGCCACCAGGGGGCGATGGAGATGTTTTGGCTCCAGTTCTCAGGAGCTGTCATGTCGTCCTGTTTTATGTGGTTTAAATGCGGTTGGATTCATAAAACAGCTGGTTTCGGTGTTCTCACAGGATTTGTTGACAATAAGAGAAACATAGAAAAACGTCAGACAGCATTAATGTGTTTCATCTGTAAGTCTGTAAAAACACATATAAACAATCCCGCCTTGTCCAGCTTTAACACACGAGGACTAAAACCGGTGCTGGTTTGATTTCTACCTCCTGAACTCGGGGCTGTGAAGGTGATCAGATCGTTATTTCAACCTGAGGAGGCCGACTGACGAGTTAACCTTTTCCCGCTGTTGTCGTACAACCGTGTCCTCTGCTGTTCCCTCCGCAGCTGATGAGCGCCGTGAAGAAGGGACAAGTGTCGGACAGCCGCCTGGCCATCCTGATGAAAACAGCCGAGGAGACGCTGGATAAGAGAGGCCCGGTGACGGTGGACCGGAGCGGAGGTGGAGTCTGAGCTTCCTTTAAAGGTGTTAATGGCAAAGAAAACTCATGCAAATGGCGTTATCTGAATGACAATATTGCAATCAAGCACGCAGCAGGATGAATTTGGCCAAATCAAGCGCACTCCTCGGTGTGTTTGGGGTGAAACGGTATCTAATGATTGAGGCTGAGATTTGTTTTTCATGGAGTCGGAGAGAAGACGCGTTTTCTGGTGCCTCCCACAGCACACACCGTTTTCTATCGTCTTTTAAACTAAACCTTTAATACTTTAATTATGACATTATCTTTGTAGGTTCTCCTCCTTGTCAAAATGATCGACACTGATTGTTGTGAAAACACTGTCTTCAGACGGCAACTCAGCTTTTCGTTTTGTACGTTCGTTATTTTCTAATGAGACAACGCTTCCTGGAAAAAAGCAATGATTTGGTGCTAATTACAGGAAACGTAGCGCATCAGGGGTTAAATGTTATCATGTTGAAATGTTTTGTATGTTTAAATACCCGCAGCAAATGAAGAATTGACAAAAAAGATACGCACTGCAGAATTTTAAAAAATAAATAAAATGGAAGAGAACATGAATGTGCCATTTTAATCAGAAGAGACGAATGTATATTAGCATGAAAGCAAAGATTGCTAATGTTTAGCGTGAATTAGCAATTTTAATTTCAACATTCGTACTCATTTTACAACCGTTTTGGTCTCTTCTTAGCAGATGCAACCCAAAATCTAGTGCACCTTTAAGCGGTCTGAGTGTCATGGTTAGCTTATCTTAGCATAAACAGCTAACTAAAGTCAGCCTCCAAAGCCCACAAATTCAAACATTTTCGGTTTCCGTGTGTCTTTTACCACCTCAGGTAGTGTCTTCTCAATCTTTGTGCTAAGCTAAGGTAACGAGCTGCCGAATTGTATTTTGAACTTCTTGGCTAGGGATTAGGCAGAAGATGACCGAGGTGCACTTTAGCTGTAGAGTAGTTGGAGTTGGTGGTTGTTCCACCAGGTGGAGCCTCTTAATGAGAGGGAGTTACAGGTGTGTTTGCTGACCGCCCGGAAAGCTTCGTTAAACGAGTGCACCTCCCTGCTGTCTAAGTGGTGTTGATGAATTCTGTTTTTGTAAAAAAATAAATGTTTAAAGTGTTTCAATAGGCGTGCACTAGCTACAACAGGCTCATGCTAACGCTAAGCTAGGACACTCAGGATGAATGCTTCCAACAACATTCAAACTAAAGTGATGAATTCTCAGCATACAGAGAAACGTCCACTCGATTTAATTCAATTTACCTGCAAGAGAAGTCTAATAAATCATGTATTAATGCTTAGATGGACTTGTTTCTACCTGTAATTAGCACCAAATTCTGAAAATTCAAGGAAACGTGTTGCTGGAAATACTGTGCCCATTCTGAAAGCACACCTGCTGCCATGTTCTACTGTGTTCTACTGTGTTCTCCATCTTTTGCACTACTGCCGACACCGAGGTTTACATGTCAAGGTCTCCAGCTTTACTGTTCGACGGATCCTCTCTATTTTTAATGATTATTTATTCCTATGTCTTCGTGTCGCTGCAGCTATTTCTACTCACAGAGATTTCATATAAATGTAATACAAAGGGCATCTTAGAAACGGCGTTTCAGAGGAACTACGCGGTGTTTTTATTCGCTATTATCATGTGCTAAATCTGTTCTTTAAATACTGTCAAGCAAAGTGGAGTTTTATTCTTTGATTTCTGTGCTTGTGGTTGAGTTAAATCGCTGTATTAACGCACATCCAGCCTGCCTGATGGCCTCACAGCCAATCAGCAGCACCTAGAAATGTAAAATCCTGCATGCAAGCTGATGTTTTTACCGTTTATGGGACGATTTTAATCTTTGAACAGCATGTTTTATGTCTGGAATGCGATGAATGTATGACCCGTGCCTTCATGTGCCTACAACACTCAACCTTCTTTTACACAGATACACGCTAAAGGACATTATGTTGAGAATGTAAAGATATTTATATGACATTTATTACATAAAAAAAAGTGTTGAAACCCAGATTGTACGTCCATTTTGTACAGATGGAGGTGGCATGTTTTTAATTGATTTTAATGTCATAGAGAGATTTGAAGCCATTTGACTTTTTTATTGTATAGAAAAGAACATTTTTATGTGTTCGGACTTTAGTTGTAACGCAAAAGCAGCACGTTTACGGTTTACAAGATTCATCAAGTAATTTATATAAATTACACAAATTACTGTTTGTGAAAATACAGACTTTAAATATGACCTTTTATCAACTTACATGTAAATT